TTTCCCGCGACAAACCGGTAGATTGATGAGAAGCGAAGCGCCGGATCGACGAGCCTTAACGCGCCGTGCGCACGATAACTAGTCTGACGGTGACGGGTATCTCCACAGACAAAATTCCGTCGGGCGTTTACACGCTGCACGGCAGATCGGAACTCTCCTCCACTTTCTCAGCATAGCTGAGATCCATTAGCCCAGGTCCGTCCGACGAGCTCTGAGGGTGCGCATTCCCACCAAGTCGTGCCGACTTAAAGCTAAATTCGGCATTCAATGCCACGTTCACCGCGTCCTCAAAATAAGATGAATGCACACGGAAGACTTCCACTCTGTCCACGCCAGTGCGGAGGCCCTCCATAAAGATGGTAACTGCAACCGCCTCGGGAAAAGGCCGACAATGAGAGTTCTCAACTCTTGAACAAATTTCACCAGCTGGTCGGGCAGCAAGGAAACGCGATCTTACGCGATATGCCTGATTTGGCGGCGAGAGCACTCGCAGAAGCTGACGCTTCAGCTCCTTCCAGGAGGCTATACAGCTTCAACCGAAGCAACGCACGTTAGTGCCTATTCTTGCGCTGGACCCCCGAGCTTACATAGCGCCACGCGCTGTTGCTCGTTCTAGATCATGGCGGATGCCATAGTCACCTCGGCCTCTCGTATCCAGAGCAGAAAAATCTTTTCATCTTTAATCTCGAAGGTCGTAACGCTCACCATGAGCAGCCTGGGTCGCGAAGAGTTATCCTTCGTCGACGGTGGCGTCATAGACCCTGTTGACGCTGGCAGCTTCTGCTGCAAGTACTCTTACACTGCATTTGCAAAACTTAAATATGGCTCCAGGCGCGCATTTGTCGCTTCGGCCCTTCGCGAAACGAGATTTTCCACACCTTCAGGGTCAACAGGGACATCAGCCCATCAAACTATGCCCTGGACAAAAAGGAGTATTCTTCAATCCTCACAGAGGGTCAGTCATAACGACTCAGGCGTCGAGTGCTACCAAGTGCAGGGGCTTCCGTAGCTTTTTGCTTAAAGGAAGCTAAGCCAAGGTCACCCACGCTACGTTCCTTACGAGACCAGAACGAGTGCAGCGGATCGCAATTCTTTGCCTCCAAGAGTACCCCGAAACTTTAGCCAAGGTAAATAAACTCTCACGTTCAAACTTGAAACGATATTTAGTTGTTTCAGGCCGCAAATATCTAAAACCTTAGGTTTTCTAAAAGGATGTAGTAACACCTAGCTGATATAGAAAAAATCTCATTAATTTGCATTACTGCTGGCAATAAGTGGCTTCTTAATATGGTGTAGTCACAAGTAATGCGCATGATAGCGATGCAAAGAGAACAAGCTCAGATCCAAGAATTTCAAACCTATGTTCCTCGGTTATGCAGATATATATCCAGGGCTATCGCGTGGTTGACTTAGGAATGTCAAGGTAGGAGTGACCTGTTGTGCTACGCTGGATGAGCGTACTTTCGGCAGCATTTACTACGCGCATGCGCGATTGCGACAAGCGACCACCATAGTAGAGAAAAAAAGTACTGATGCTTATGCTTATAAAGTAGCTGATCGACACTCAGTGCGTAATGATATCATGAAAACTGTCAAGTCATATGTTGGAGACATTGAAATGAATCATGTTTATCGTACATCAAGTATTAGCACACAGCAGCTGATGTCATCCGATTGTTGTGCTGAAAACCGGTTGGAGGTAGTAGAGTATTTTCCATCTCTTCATACGCATCACGAAGATCATCAAGTATTGATGTGGAGCAAACAAGACAAAGACATGAGCCGATGATTATGCTACGTAACAGCTCAGATGATGAGCACAAAAT